CCAACTACCCAACCACCCCAACTACCCAACCATACCAACTACCCAACCATACCAACTACCCAACTGCCCCAACTACCCAACTATACCAACTGCCCCAACTACCCAACCATACCAACTACCCCAACTGCCCCAACTACCCAACCACCTCAACTACCCAACCATACCAACTGCCCAACTGCCCCAACTACCCAACCATACCAACTGCCCCAACTACCACAACCTCCCCAACCATACCAACTACCCAACCACCCCAACTTCCCAACCATACCAACTACGCAACCATACCAACTGCCCCAACTACCCAGCCATACCAACTACCCAACTACCCCAACCATACCAACTTCCCAACCACCCCAACTACCCAACCATACCAACTACCCAACCATACCGACTACCCAACTGCCCCAACTACCCAACCATACCAACTGCCCCAACTACCCAACCATACCAACTACCCCAACTGCCCCAACTACCCAACCATCCCAACCACCCAACTGCCCCAACTACCCAACCATCCCAACTACCCAACCATACCAACTACCCAACCGCCCCAACAACCCAACCATACCAACTGCCCCAGCTACCCAACCACCCCAACTACCCAACCATACCAACTGCCGAACCACACTACCTCCTCAACCACCCCAACTACCGAAACATACCAACTGCCCAACTACCCAACCACCCCAACCATAACAACTGCCCAACCGCCCAACCACCCCAACTACCCAACCACCCCAACTACCCAACCACCCCAACCATCCCAACTCCCCAACCACCCCAACTACCCAACCACCCCAACTACCCAACCATACCAACTACCCAACCATACCAACTACCCAACTGCCCCAACTATACCAACTGCCCCAACTACCCAACCATACCAACTACCCCAACTGCCCCAACTACCCAACCACCTCAACTACCCAACCATACCAACTGCCCAACTGCCCCAACTACCCAACCATACCAACTGCCCCAACTACCCCAACCTCCCCAACCATACCAAATACCCAACCACCCCAACTACCCAACCATACCAACTACCCAACCATACCAACTACCCAACTGCACCAACTATACCAACTGCCCCAACTACCCAACCATACCAACTACCCCAACTGCCCCAACTACCCAACCATACCAACTACCCAACTGCCCCAACTACCCAACCATCCCAACTACCCAACCATACCAACTACCCAACCGCCCCAACAACCCAACCATACCAACTGCCCCAGCTACCCAACCACCCCAACTACCCAACCATACCAACTGCCGAACCACACTACCTCCTCAACCACCCCAACTACCGAAACATACCAACTACCCAACTACCCAAGCACCCCAACCATAACAACTGCCCAACCACCCCAACCATAACAACTGCCCAACCGCCCAACCACCCCAACTACCCAACCACCCCAACCATACCAACTGCTCAACCACCCCAACTACCCAACCATACCAACTGCCCAACCATACCAACTGCCCAACCACCCCAACTCTCCACCCATCCCACAACTACCCAACCATACCAACTACCCAACTGCCCCAACTACCCAACCATACCAACTACCCAACCACCCCAACTCCCCAACCATACCAACTACCCAACCACCCCAACTACCCAACCACCCCAACCATACCAACTGCTCAACCACCCCAACTACCCAACCATACCAACTGCCCAACCATACCAACTGCCCAACCACCCCAACTCCCCAACCATACCAACTACCCAACCACCCCAACCATACCAACTACCCAACCATACCAACTACCCAACTGCCCCAACTACCCAACCATACCAACTACCCAACCATACCAACTACCCAACCATACCAACTACCCAACTACCCAACCATACCAACTACCCAACCACCCCAACTCCCCAACCATACTGTCAAAGTGTCAGTGTTCCTGTGTGTCAGCACCCAGAGATATCACAGATAGGAATTTCTGCCAGTCGAGAAGCCGCATTTGTAAGCCTGATTTAAAATATCAGCTGGTGTGCAGGGGATGATGTTGGTAATGGCAGCAGGTGGGGGAGGGGTGGAGGTGACACATTGGCAGAGAAGCCGCGCGGCATCCTTCGCCTCGGGGACGCAGCAAATATTCTATGCGTAATTTATTATCCAGAGCGCAAACCGGGAGGAGGAAGGAGAGCGTTCTATCCGGGCCCCTGAGCCCCCTCCTGTGCACGCCCACGTTACCCTTCCAGGGGCCACAGTGCCACACTAACCCTTCCACACACTTACTTCTCCAAACACAATGCAGAGAGTGGGAACTACAACTCCCAGTATTGCTCCTGGAGGCAGGTAAGTGAGTGCGGCCCCCTGCATGGAGGGAGGTAAGTGAGTGCGGTCCCCTGCATGGAGGCAGGTAAGTCTGTGAGGACAGTACAGCCAAACTCTTCTATGGCCTGGGGTGGTGATGTCTGTTTCCTGGTCTATTCTGCCATCTGGTGGTGGAGGCAGGAACAGCACCTTCAGCTTACAGAACATTCCCGGCAGCAATCACAGGTAGGTCGGTGACTCCGGCTCAGGGCGGTCGGTGACTCCGGCTCAGGGAGGTCGGTGACTCCGGCTCAGGGCGGTCGGTGACTCCGGCTCAGGGCGGTCGGTGACTCGTGTGTGCCGCGTGTGCCGTGTGTCGCGTGTGCTGTGCGTGCCGCGTGTGCCGTGTTTGCCGCGTGTGAGTCACGCCGGACATCTTTATTATTACTGGAAGCGGCCCCCCACCGGACACATCTGGGGGCCCTTCCCTGCCAGGGGTGTCAGGAGCCTCCTTGGAAGGTGTCTCTTCATCGCTCGGGGGATGGAGGGCCACAGACACCTCTGAACTCTGATCAATCTGCCTGCTCCGGGCCCTCGAGGGCTGTGCGGGGGCCCCCATAACAACACGCCAGCTAGCCAGATCTTTCCGTACTCACCTGTAGACGGTTCCAGATCAATAGAAATGACGGCGGCGTCCATCCCGTCCTGAGATTACCCAGCTCTGCCACACAGCCCTGCCTAGCAGAGCAGGAGACCTGATTGGACAGTGAAAAGAGGAGCAACATGCCAATGAGCTCATCCCTCTGTCACTCTGCTCTATCCTTCTATCAGCATGCTCCTTGTTAGCACACAAGTACTGCAGCACAGCTCACTGGCTCCTTGTGCTGCTTCTCCCTCTCCTATTCTGAGCTCTGCTGTACAGGGACTGTAAGAGGCTGATGTGATGTTCAGAATGGAGACCATGACCTGTGAGTGGGGGGCGGAGCTAAGAATGTGTCTGTTTTACACATGGATTGGAATGATTTCCCAGCATGCATTTTGGTAAACGTGTTCTATACATCATCAGAGTGACTATTGGCTGCTCTCCTCACATGCCTCCCAATCGTTCAATATTTGCCCCTCGTCTCCATGTGATCATTTATATTGGTGGACTATTGCCCAGATGCCCCCGCCCCCGACAATGCACACACACACAGGGGACATGGCGATATTTTATTGGCAGCAGGAAGGAGCAGGAGAGGTGCAGC